TGCTCTCAGATGGTCTCCCAATGTGCAAATTTCACTGGAAATTACATCTTAAATGTCCATGCATTATCAGTATTTCTAGGTTTACAAATCATCAGAACAAAAAAGGTAAAGCCAATTTAATAGATCGTGGCTACTCTCAAAAGTAAACAAACATTTTTAACCTAAAAATCAATCTGCCCTTGAAAAACCACTGTATAACATTTTAGTTGGGTGATACAGGGTGCTAGAGCACAGCAAACTATGAGAAGATACTGTGTTTATTTACAGGATGATAACCAATACACCTGAAACAGGGCTCAGGAAACCAAAGACACAACCCAAATGGTAGCCTGGAGTGAAGCTGTGAAAGGCCTCAAAGGTCAGGCTAAAAGTGTACCTTTCATTTTGTGGGCAGTGGAACTCATTAACTGGCAGGTCAAAGAGAATAAATACAGATGGCAAGTACAGGAATAAAAAAAGCAGGCTCAAGGGCAAAGTATTAAGTTGGGTTTAGATTTGCTGAGTTTATGAGGCTAAAATAAAAATGTTCAGTATTGTAATTTACTGATCCTAGGGCTCACTGGACTGCCATAGCAACAGAACAAAGTTGACAGGAAAAAAAAGTCAAGCAAGAGTTGGCCAAGTTTTAACAATTAGCTGCAAAGAACCTTGGGAAGCTTTTTACTTCATTCTGCAAAAACCAGACCACATTATGGGGAACAATATTGGCCCTGTGAAGCAATTCTAATACTGTGAAGCTAAATGTTTCCCAAATCTTGCACCACTTCTATTGTGTTCCAATAAATGTCTCTAGTAAATTTGACTACTACATTCTATATTCTTCTCATGTTCAAATCTATATATTTTGCTTTATAGATTCAAAATGTCAACGTAGCTAGCTATGGTTTTGAACATTCATATTTCTCACCCTCAACCCAAACATACATATAAACTATCTCTTTAGAAATAATGAGATTTTCTTTTGCACATACCCATCTGTGTCCCCTATTACCTTTATACAACCCATTACTCTCAGGAACGTGCAGGGAATTTTTTCCAGGTCCTATCCACCACCCCCACCTTAGCCTTCATTTGAAGTATGTCAACATCAACACAGGAGATGTAGTTCCCCTGGCTCTAATAAAGACTTGAAGTAGTAACTCAGCATGGTACCTGTCATCAACTGGTTAAGGTCTTCAAGGAAGACTGAGGTGTGGAAAAGTAAACAGGAATTCATAACATTCTGATGCTAAGTATATGTCTATTGAAATTAATCAAATTCAGATCACATTTTATATGCATTTTTCATCTTACCTTTATCACTTACTTTATCAAAAGTAAAAGATTGGTAACTATTTTAAAAAAAAAAAAAAAAAGGTTTTTCACTAGAATATGAGACACACAGGGTTGAACTACATACAGCCATGTTACCCAGGTAGAAATACCAGCTCTGCCATTCAGTTCGTAATTTGAACATGTAACAATTTCCCTGTGCCTCAGTTTTCTCATCTTAAAATGGGCATTACAGCAGTTTCAAGATTATTACTGCTATTAAATGAGCCAATAAATAAAGCATTTAAATCATCTGGTACAAATTTATGCTTAACAGAGGAATGATATGAAAGCATTTGTTATGGTTCTTATAAAAATAAAATACATTTCTTTGTTCTGATTGGCATAGTTCCATAATTACACATTTTTAAAAATTCTTTTTATAAAAAGTCTTGGGTTCAATTCCCAGTACAATTAAAAAAAAAATCTAAATAATATAAATGCATAGTTGTTTAGCTTCCTATTCTGCAACTATTTATTCTAGCTATACTATATGGTCAGAGACAGTGCTGGGTATGCTAGCTGATTCACTTCACAAAGAAAAAAAAAAAAACAACTTACATATATATGTGTAACTTTTCTCTGTTCCCTATATTATTTCTATCTGATGCTTCTAGATCAAAACTAAAAGGAATCACCTTACCTTTCCACAGCAATAGTTACCTATGACATTATAGTCATTTTAAAGTAACATTCATGCAACCAGGGATATAGCTCAGTGGCACAGCACCTGCCTGGCAAGCACAAGGTCCTGAGTTTGATTCCTCGTACATATACCCTTAACCCCCAAAACAGTAACATTCATGTGAAGAAGCCAACTTCCTCTACTACAAAAGGTACAAACAATTATTTCCCCTTTTCTTTACTGAAGGCAACATATCTTTGTCCTCAACTACTATACTTTTGGAATTACTAAATTAATGACTAGAATGTGGCAGTGAGCTGAACTATTACCACTAACAATCAAAATAAAGCAAATCAAGGCAGCTAGAGAAAGAAACTGTAAATTAAACATATTAATCCACATAGCATCCTCTATGGTTCCAAACAATGATGCACCTGACAGTCTTTGTACACAAAGATCTGACTTCACTACTACAATCTTCCTATGATAAACAACAAATGCAATCCCAGACTCACCAATCCCTATCTACTAGGAGGTAATATTTCCACAGCATAGATCCACTTCTAGCCCCTGTGTGATCATTCTTTTAAGAAGAAATTTTTACAACAAGAGGGGTTAAGTGACTTAAGACAAGGCGAAAAAAAACAAAACAAAAAAAAAAAAACCTGATGTAAGCATCAGTTTCTAATGAGTTGAGAGTTTTTAATAATAATCCAACAGTCTGGTACTTAACTAGTCAACAATGGTCTAAAACGATTAGTAATCAGTACTATCTGCTATCCATGTAAGAGCTGGGGAAGGCAGGGAGGAATGGGCAAATAACAGGATTTGTGAACTCTGGAGAGTTCTGGACAATCCTTTCAGTTTTACTACAGGAAATCTAAGAACAAACGTTCAATTATTCATACGTATGTAACATACTGAAGGAGTGGCAACCTAAACTTCCCAGGGCAAAGAGCTCCAATCTACCCTCAATCCTTACACTAGACATCCTCCTAGCACGATGATACCATACACATAAGTGGATACAAGAAATGAGCTTGTTAGCAGGTAACCTGGAAATGACTACCCATATGTTCCCACTTCCCAGTGACTCTAATACCAATACCTGCCTTCTTGATAACACAAAATAAATGTACAAACTTCAACGCCACAGCACCAAACAATGGATAACGGCATGACTAGTAAAACATCTCCATAGCACTGCCTTACATTTCCCCTTGTTTCCGTGTTTCTTTAGTTGACTGGAAAGATCATCTGTGGTCATATTGGAAATGTAAATACTATTATTGCAAAGACAGCTACATGATTACCTCTAAAAATTACTAACCCAGAAGTTCAGTTAAAGTGAAGGCACTACATTCAGTAAAAGGTATGACATTAAAAGTAGGATAGGTTTAAAAGAAAAACGGATGTTGTTTTATGATTCTAAAAATTATTAACATCATCCCTCATACTTCATCCAAACTTGAGTTTTTACTTGATAAATATAATTTATTGAGCAGTACCTGTTAGGACAAAATGTTATGTATTTGTATCTACATTATTTCAATATACTCAAGCTTCGAGATCCTGTATAATCACTTTCCTTATCACTTTTCAGACACACTTAAGCCCTGAAAAGTTAGCAAACTTTTGCTATATTCTGTGTTACAATCTAGGACTATTGGGGTTGATACCCAGATATACCATATATCCTCATTTTACATAATCCTGTTTCAGCATAATTATCTCTACAACAGTAATTTACTCTCAAAGGTGCCCAAGACTGGGCAATAAATTATATCGTTATCAGGGTACTCTTCCCACGCATCATAATGCTATAGTATGTAGTACATTCTGCTCCACAGCTTCAGCTCAAACCCTCACTAATCTTGCCAGTGAACAACACTGCCAACCAATCAGTAAAAAGACAGATACAGTACACACCTCACTCCGTCCCTATACATGAAAATCCACTAGTAGAGAAAAAAGGCAAATAAATGCCAAGAATTAGAATGTGATTACATTATTACACAAGACAGCATATTAAATGCCAACTAGTCAAATACCCACAGACACAGATATAGATGAGCAAAAACTCTCACTATAGATACAAATAATTACTTAGAACATTACTTAATATAAAGATTTTCATACTTTACTCTTCCTTCTCAAATCTAAATGCTGTATAGCAAATTTCCTACAGCACCTTCCCAGATGGAAATCAGTATAATTAGTGCATAAGAACAAGTAGAGCCTTACTATTTGCCTTATTAAAAATTAAATCTTTATGAAACATTAAAATATGGCCACAGATAATTAAATTAGCATCTAAACAATGGCAAACGGTAGCTGGAGCAGAGGGAAAGAACTGTGACTTGTTAGATTGTGCCTAAAAATACTTAAAAATTCAACAGATGTTTAAACTACTCCGTAAACAGAGTTGACCAAGTCTGTCGGCTATAGTAACCTGGATAGTCAAACTAAAATACATTAAAAAAAAAAAAAAAAAATCCCTGCAGCCCATACTTGAACTTCTGATCTTGTAACATACAATTTTAAAATATGGGTGAATTTTTAAGACCAGTAACCCCTATAAGCATCTTGTTACATTTTAAAACTATTTTTTAAGGGAGCTATGTGTCTGTGTGTGTATATTTGTGTGCGTATTCACATTTTATAGAGCCTAGGACAAGATTACAAATTCAGATTAGGAGTAGGGCAGAGGTGTGAGGACAGAAACCCAGCAGATAAACAGATGCATGATCTAGAATTATAACAAGGCTAACAATGAAATTTAAATGTCACTACTAGTTAAATCAAGCAGTATTGGAAAGTTCGTGTTTTACAGTAATTACAAAGGGGCTGGGTATACAGCCTAATGGCAGAGTGCTTGCCTGGGTTCAAATCCTAGTAGTGCAAAGAAAAAACAGATTTAAACAAGGTGAACATTATCAAAACTATTTCAAAACTGGTTGAAACCAGTGGGTTGCAGTAACATGGCAATTTCTATTGCAAAGATTCTTTAAACCTTTACTAATAGGCCTGCTGTCTATAATTTAGTGGCAGAGTGTTTGCTTTCCGTATGGGAGGCCCTGGGTTGGATCCCCAGCACTGCAAAGGGGTGACCTTCATCAATAAAATTTAAGGCAGTCATGGTGGTGCAAGCCTGTAATCCTAGCACTCGGAAGCCTGAGGCAGGATTGTTGAGTTCCAGGCCAGCCTGGGATACAAAGTTCAAGGCCAGCCTGAACTGTATAGCAAGACTTTGCCTCAAAAAAAAAAAACCAAAACAAATAAATAAATAAAAATAAAAGGCAAACCTTTTTAAAAAGTTAAGAGCTGTGTAAGCTTATACCTTTTAAACTTGCCGAAAAGCATAACTAAAATTCATGATACTAATTAAATTGTTTTAAAATTGTTCAGTTTAAACAAATGAGCCAGTGAATGCTACAAAATGTGTTTTCTAAAAGTTCAGTAATGGTAGAAGAGGTTAAAATATCAATGTAAAATGTAGCTTCAATATGGACATTATATACTAAGAATCACCTTTCAAAAGAAAAATGTATCTTGCAGAAATAATATTTCTTAAAAAAATTGGAAAACCAACTGTAGCCAGTATTTCTTATGCCCCAAAGTTGCAGTGCTGGTGAACCTGTGGCAAGTGTGCCACAGCCGGCTGTTACCAGACAGTGAACGCTTTAAGGTTCACCATCACTGGATATGCATCCTTTTACTTTCTGGGCTTAAGTTAATGAATTCTCTATTTTGCAAATACAGAAAGATCTACATTATTTAATCAATTAGACTACTAAGAAGTTCCTTTCAAGAAACTGAACTTTTACATATTTTATCTTACTAAACAAAATAATACAGATATTCATAGATCTGTGAATAGATACAAAGGTACAAAACAAAACAATAAAAACACATGGATGGTATTAATGATGCAGGTACTAAATCCAATGTTTAGAAAAAATAGTTTAAAATGGTAATACAGATAAAGGGAAAAGCAGAACACAAACCTGTATAAACAATGAGCACTTTGAGCTCTTTAGGCCTAAATGAACTGTACTAAATCCGAAGAATGGAATATTACTCAGCATTAAAAAGAAATGAGCTATCAAGCCACGAAGACAGCATCCACACCAACAACAAAATATTACTAAAGGTGCTGCTGAAGGTGCAGCTCAGTCACAGAGCACTTGGCAAACAAGTGCAAGATGCTGAGTTCCAACCCTAGCACTACAAACAGCTGCATGCAATATATTAAAAGAGGACATCTGACCGTTGAAAGTACATCATTTTCCTCATACTGACCTAAATGTTTCAAATATATTACACTGAAATTCAAATATATACTTTCAATAATAAATGAAGATGTTCATTCTTCAATTTAATATCTACATTCTGTATATAAACAGAATCAAAATACTAAAATCTGCCAAGTGTGTCCTAATGATCTGCCAATCTCTTTCTGAACCAGTATCACATATTAAAAAGTTACCTTTGTTTAGTAATTTTTTCCCTCATGGGATAGCAAGTTCCCCATTTCCCTTCTCTCTTTTAAAAAACTTGCCAATTCTCACTTGCTTATACCTCCAAATAAATTTCACAATCATTATATAAAACATCAGTTGGCAAACTTTCTTTTTTTTTTTTGGTTTTTTTCTCCGATACCGGGAACCGAACTCACGACCTTGCGCTTGCCAGGCAGGCGCTTTTGCCGCTGAGCTAAATCCCCAGCCCCTGTTGGCAAACTTTCTATTAAAATCTTGACAGTAAGTATGTTAAGGTGGTTGGTAATCTACCTCTTATTCTTCAGTTTGTTTTGCTACAACCCTTTAAAATGTAAAAACCATTCTTTAGATAGGAGGCTAAAGTATGCAGAACCCTGAATGAAATGTGGTGCCACCACCTTGCTTGTATTTTGATTTCATTTATAGTGAATGTAGGAAATTCTTGAATATCCTATATTTTAAATTCTTTAAACTCCTTATCCCTCAGCAGAATTTTACAGTTTTCATGAATCCTTCAAATTACTCGTTAGGTTCATAATTTCTGGACATTTGAGGAAGGCACTTATTAATATCACAACTAGGTATATTATTCCTGGTACTTTTTGCCAATGTTACAGAAAAACTATAAAAATCATTTGAATGCAACTTATTATGTTACTCTTAAAATGTAAATGAGTATGCTTTAAAATATAAATGTGTTTCTTTCCAATTGAGTAATTCAATAATTTAAGGTTAAGAAAGAGCAAGGCTAAGCACTGAACAGTGTGTCTGCCGCATGAAAAGCACTCAAATGTTTAACTAAATGATTCTAATCTTACTCCCTCTCATAGTATCACAAAAGCTATAGCACGGAGATCTTTGTTTAAAGACCATGGCAAGAATAAGAGAAAAATGGGCAGTCTCTCAAAGTTTGAAAATCTCCCAGGTACCTTTGCTCAAATAAAGTACTGGAGATGTGATCTACTAAAATGATACAAGAAACCAAGTGAGAGGAAGACAATGGGCACAGCAAACGGTGGGGTGCAACACAGATTTTAGAGGACATCTAAGGAAGACAAATACACACCAGATACAAAGAGCAACAGTTTAGACTGGACAACATCATTCAAGTGAATGTGAGTGGAGCAACGTGGGTTGATGATTGCTATGACCAATGTGCCTATTATTCTATTTTTTCTGGAAAACAGAGAGGGGCTCAGGGTTAAAACCTCTTGCCTACCTCATGTAAGGCCCTGGATTCCATCCCCCAGCAACACATAAAACACATAAAAAATGAAAAGCACCAAATGCTCCAGAGTATCTAGCATAGATTTTAACCTATACTTATGTAACTCAGTTCAACCATGCATTAATGAAGTTTCTTTTCTCTCCCTGGTGTCCAGCTCCCTCCCTGAACCAAAAGGGTATGACTTTAATCATAAAATGCAGAGTGGCCTACTCACACAGGCTACTCTCCTACTGAAGGTTCTTTGCCCGGCCCACACCACAGCCCAGTCAATTACAACTGTAGCACTCTTGTTTCCCAGGACATGCTCATGACTTTGCCAACTGTTTTCCCTAGGAAGAACTCCAGTAGAAACTCTAGAAGCTGAAGCTGAAGTATAAGCCAGAAGTTGGTTTCAATTATCTTCTCTTAGTAACTTTCATCCCACAGGGGCAATACTGCCTTGTCTTTGCACATCACCTAAACACACAGCTGAAAGAGACCATGGAGATTACTGCAAGAAAACAGATGAATTATTAAGATGAAAACCAGGATGAGGGGGACAAAGAAATAACAATGATGATGAAATATAAAAAATAAGTTGAGGCACTGGGGTGGAAGATAACCTGGGTCTCTAGCTTATTACTATAAAACATACATGTTATACTTTATTTCCACATATATGGCTTCGTAATATCTGAAATCCTAGCACTCTGGAAGGCCGAGGTAAAAGGACCATAATTCAAGGCCAGCCTGGGCAACTTAGCAGGAGGCTGTCTCAAAGCAAAAAATAAAAACTCCAATACCAAAAGGAAAAACAAAGTAAAGTATTTATCACAGCAATTTTTGAAACAGCATAGTTAGAAATGTTACACTGATCTATACAGAAATAATTACGTTAAAACCATACAATGTAATACACCTTTAAAAAAAAAGTTGTTTGATACATAATGCTAGACAAGAAGTACCAGAATAGTGTACATAACTAGTTACCATTTACATAAAAAAAATCTATTTGTATATACAAAAAATAGTCTATAAAAAATTGATACTGCTGGTTGCCTCAAGAGGTGATTTGCCTAAATACCACCCAGCATGAAGAAGACATCACTATATACTCTATCACGAAATATGAATCTTAAATATTGTAAGACTTACTTGCAAAATTTAAGAAAACAAAAATTAACTAATAGAACCATTTTAATTCCATACTAATCAGTTATCTTTCAAATCTTAAAATATGGAAGTTTTTGTAAGAGTAAAACATTAACCCAAACTGGACATATCCAATCACATCTTACAAAAATTTAAATACAATAAGCATGCCTGCTGTCTGTATACAACACAGTTATAGATTCTAGAGCCACACTGCAATTTGGAAGCCGAACTACATGTGGTTAAAGTTTTTTTTTTTTTTTGGGGGGGGGTTAAAGTTTTTAACATTAAATAATATTTAAAATTTGTTTCCATCACTGACCTACCCACATTTTAAATTGCTCAACTGCCATGTGTGTGGCTACTGTACTGTACAGCAAGACATTTCCATTACCAGAGAAAGGTCTCTTGAATGACCCTATGGATCCTGAAAAACCTAGTAAAATGGGTGCATTGGAGAGAAAACTAAATGGCTGGGGAGAGGTAAGACATATTTTACATTAATAAGAGAGGACCTTGTGCCAAGCAATGTTCTTATTATGTTTCATGTTAACACTATCCTTACTATACACCACACTGGTTTCTTTTGTAATCTTATGTATTTTATATAATATATATTTTAAGTTCTAAGAACAAGCCACACTGCTCAAGGTATTCATTTCAAATTTTAGATCTGAGCATATACTATAAATTGAAGAAAAAAATGTAAAAATACAATAAAAGTTAAATACCATCTACAAATCCAAAACAAATCCAAAATAATAAATATGAGCTCAAATTTTTTTAAAAACCCTATTCCTAATTCCACCAACCAAACCAAATGACCTACACTTTCAGAGGAATGATTTTACATAACTTTTACCCCTAATGTACAAGTTTTACCAGAGAAAAACAACTGGACATTTTATTTTGAATGCTTCTTTTTTTTTTTTCTTGAACTGGACAATAAAAGCTTGAGACTTGGGTTTGAATTCTAGCTTTCACTTAGGTACTATGTGATATTAATAGGGAAAAAAGATGGCCTGTCCTAGAGAAACTATCTTTCAATCTTCACTAACAGTAATTTTAAACTAGTCACAACTCAAATGCCAACAAAATGACAAGAGAGTACTGTGTCCCAAGTGCCAAAATTTTGACATACTACCTGGAAAGAAGTAAAATGGCTCCCCTTAATTTCCCCTTTGAAGTGACTCGATACTTATAAGCCATACTTTAATGTAACTAAATTTATACACACTTAAAGACTGACATTACTATCAAACTAAAAATTTTATGTAATTTCTACAAAAACTT